AACAATAAATACAAAGGGCCATGATCCCCAAATCGCTCCCCTTTAAATTAACCCCCTGGGCCAATCCCAATTTTTAAAACCGGGGACTTTTATTTGAACAAACTTGGTAGACAGCCATAAGATGTTTCATGATAAATATCTTCGCTCTAACTCTTTGGAGTTTTAAAAGAAGATTTTTTTAAGTTTTTACTATATACATATAGGAAAAAAACAATAACCCCCCCCCCCCTGAGGGGCCAATTTTGACCCCAGGGCTTTTATTTAAACAAACTTGGTAGACACTAACTAGAAAATATTTCATGCTTAGTATATAAACACTAGCTCTTTTGGTTTTATAAAAGAAGATTTTTTAAGTTTTTACTCTATACAAAATAATGAAAATCAATGACCACCTCGGGCGGGGCCAATTTTGACCATACTCAGGCTGTCCAGCACCTTCTGACAAAAAATTAGGGCAAATTTAAAAAAAATTCAGGGCTAAAATTAGGAATTTTAGGGTAAATAAAAGAAATTTTAGGGCTAAAATTTGGAATTTCATAACTAAATTATGGCTTAAAAAGACCATGATATGGGCTCAACTTTGAATATTTGACACAAAGTAACTCACAAATAATGCTCTAGTTCGGTTATAGCAAATGCGTTACCAGTGTTCCATTATAGTCACCAGTGAAGAAATGGATTCACTGGTTAACTGCCTTTAAACAGAGCTGAAAACCTTCATTAAAACATAACTAGAATGAAAACATTTTCAAAGTTATAAGTATCCTGGAACAACCAATATTCAATAAGTTAAGCTATGATTAGCCAATAATAAATGGAAGGGGAAATTATGCTTTAGATTTATTTTAGCTAAAAATGCATTTATTATCAACATTTATTCATTTTAAGGTTGGTACATTTTCAACAAGTCTTGATCTTTCTTAAAAAACAATAAAAACAATATGACCCACTCAAGTCATTCCCAGGAATATTAAAACTTAAATTCAAACAGCAGGGTATACACCTATGAAGAATTTGTTCAAGATAAATCAGGCTACTAAAAATTGTAGAAATTTCACAACAAAGTCAGTTTTTTCAATGATTTTCAACAGTTTTTTCCAGATTTTAAAAAACTTACATCATATGTTATAACATATGTTCAGTACATGTTAATGTGTACAAAAAGGGCAGCTGAAGGTGTCACTTCTTAGTACCCTTATTGGGTAGCAAAATGGTTAAAGCATCCAATCACTACTGCCAGTTTACCTTACCCACTTTATAATTAGCAATGGAAACTTGTCTAGATCTGCCAGCTTGTATCACTTACAAAAGATCTGTTCTACAGTCATCACTTGAAAATAACTTGATTACAAATTAAGATTTTATTAATAAGGACCCCTTCATAATGTTTGATAAAATTTAGTGGTTCATCATATAAATAGTTGCTTTAAATACACCTAAGACTGTCTGAGGTAAATGGTAAAACTCTATAGCCAATAAAAATGTAACTTCCTTGGAAATATTTTTATCACAATTTTAAACAGGTGACTATTTTGATAGAGTCAAAGTCGGACAATTTTCATTGTTCCATTTAAAACAAACAGTTTCTTATAATTTTTCTGATAACATCTGGTAATTAATCAAGAATGGCATTTCTGCAGGAGTTGAAGTAAATACAACATGTGACTTTATGCAATTTAGTCAGACATGGCATCAGCTCCACTGACTGTGTTCGAATTTAAGTTGTGATTAAAACATGGTTGTTTCGCGATATGTTTATCACAAAAGATAAAAAAATAGGAATTTAAGTGAAAAAATAGGGCTTTTTTAGGAATTCTCTTTGAATATTTCATTTCTTTAGGAATTTTAGCCAAACTGAAAAAATTAGGATTTTTTAGGAATTTTAGGGACGCTGGACAGCCTGCATACTTGGTAGACATTCACTAGAAGATGTTTCATGCTTAATATCTAAGCTCTAGCTATTTGGGGTTTTTAAAACAAGACTTTTTAAGTTTTTACTATATACAAATAAGGAAAATCAATGACGCCTTGGGGCGGGGCCAATTTTGACCCCAGGGCATTTATTTGATCAAACTTGGTAGACATTGACTAGGTGATGTTTCATGCCAAATATTTAAGCTTTAGCTCTTGTGGTTTACTAAATGAAAATATTTTAAGTTTTTACTATATACAAATAAGGAAAATCAATGACGCCTCGGGGGCCGGCTAATTTTGACCCCAGGGCATTTATTTGAGCAAACTTGGTAGACATTGACTAGGTGATGTTTCATGCCAAATATTAAAGCTCTAGCTATTGTGGTTTTCTAAGCGAAAATATTTTAAGTTTTTACTACATGCAAATACGGAAAATCAATGACCCCCTGGGTCGGGCCAATTTTGACCCCAGGGCTTTTATTTGAACAAACTTGGTAGACACCCACTAGAAGATGTTTCATGCTTCATATCTAAGCTATAGCTATTTGGGGTTTTTAAAACAAGACTTTTTAAGTTTTTACTATATACAAATAAGGAAAATCAATGACGCCTCGGGGCGAGGCCAATTTTGACCCCAGGGCATTTATTTGAACAAACTTGGTAGACATTGACTTGGTGATGTTTCATGCCAAATACTTAAGCTCTAGCTCTTGAGGTTTTCTAAAAGAAAATATTTTAAGTTTTTACTACTTGTATATACAAATAAGGAAAATCAATGACCCCCCAGGGCCTGGCCAATTTTAACCCCAGTGCCTTTATTTGAACAAACTTGGTAGACACTGACTAGTTGATGTTTCATGCCACATATTTAAGCTCTAGCTATTGCGGTTTTCTAACGAAAATATTTTAAGTTTTTACTACATGCAAATAAGGAAAATCAATGACCCCCCGGAGCGGGGCCAATTTTGACCCCAGGGCATTTATTTGAACAAACTTGGTAGACACTCACTAGAAGATGTTTCATGCTTAATATTTAAGCTGTAGCTATTTGGGGTTTTCTAAAAGAAGATATTTTAAGTTTTTTCTTTTGGTTGCCATGGCAACCATAGTTCTGCTTGGAATTAATTTCTTTGAACAATTTTTAAAGTTGACTACCAAAGGAATATTCCTGTGAAGTTTGGATGAAATTCGCTAAGTGGTTTATGAAGAGATGCCGTTTAAAGTAAAAGTTTACAGACTGACGCCGAACGAAAAGCCATCACAAAAGCTCACTGTGTCACTCTGTGACAGATGAGCTAAAAAATCATTCACTACCATACATATTAAGATGTTATACTGCAAAGAATAAAAATATTTATTATGCAATCAACTTGATGTCTTCTGAGACTTCATTATGGATTTTTTTATTTGTTTTCCTTGTTCATGTTTTTTTTTATTGTTCTATTTTTATTTTAAATTATTGTTTTTTGTTTGTTTGTTTTTTTGGTTTTTTTTGAAGCTCTTTGTTGAGAGCTTTTATAATTACTGCTTGTTCATTACAGTTTTCTGGTTCTTGTTCTGTGCACAGTTTATAGACATATACCAATGTCACTTCACAGCCCAATCTTGGTAAGTGATGTTAAAATGGATTTAATTAAATACTTATTATTTATGTTAACATTTCCTTATAATACTACACGTTTGGTGTCTTTCCACTGGGTAATTATATATAAATAGTGTAATAATCTATATTATCTGTACACCCAGCTGCTGTTATCTTAAGAAGTTATGTTAATTATTTTTTCTTGAATATATCTACAAATTAATTTCAAGTTGCATTGATTATATATGCAAATAACCACTCATATACATCCTTATAACCTGTCAAAAATCTTTATAAATAATAAAACGTTTGACTAAGAGATGTATGTAACAAATATAATACATGTATAGTTCTGAATATTATATAGTTCCGTGGTTGACTTTGTTTATTTATGAAATTTCTTTTCCATGTATAGTACATATTCTTCTCTTTATCAAACAGGTGAAAACTGTTGCTGGTATTTCGCCTGGTAAGCATACTATAGATTATGCTGACAAATGTCAGAAAAAAAGACAACATAGTCAAGAAGTGACACAGTTGCCATCGACAAAAAAAAGGCGCCTTATCTTGAAACAAGAGCGAGCGGTTACCCAGCAGGCACATGAAACACTGGAAGGAGTCTCATATCAATCTGGTAAATATATTTGCCCTCACATGACAATTAATATTGAATGGCTACTGGATGTTCGGAAAATTTAACGTATTCCTTCCATGAATTTCAGACTGTAAATTGAGGTCTTGCTTGATAAACTTGAAATAAATTGAGTGTTTTTGTGACCAAAGTAATTATTACACTCTGTTCTTTTCATTTATGTGTATTTACTGTTTGCTGACAGGCATTGGTCATGATGAAGAGGTGGACATTGAAAGACTACCTGATCCTATTCCACGTGGAGTGTTCAAGCAAGTTATACCACATGGACCACCGACTTACATTGTAGCTGATCTGGAAACCACTGATCTAAGTAAGTGACTTTCTTTCAACCTATAAATTTAGCAAATCAGATGGAGCACAGGTCTCTAGATCAACAGATCCTGAGTTATAGCCTGATATGGCATAAGTTATTATGTGGAAAAGTTGAAAGGTACAAAGTACTGGTAATTTCACAGGTAACACTGGTAACAGCAGCTGGGTAATTTGCAATTAACCCTCAATAAAGAAACAAAAATAGTTGTTACCAACCCTATTAATAGTGCATAATTGGGAGACATATGTTTTTGTTTTTGATTTTTTTTTTGACAAAAAACCTTCTAGTTCTTTGGTATTTGTTATGTTTTAAAAGAATACATGAAGTATTGTGAACTTGGATAGAAAACTGATCTTATTTGTTTTATTCAATGGTAATTGTAACCTTTGAACATAATTTTTATAGTAAATTACGATCATTTATGTTTCAGTAAGGGGAGATCAAATTCCGCACATCACCCAGATAGCTGCTGTTGAAATGTCAACTGGTTCTACATTCAACAAGTATGTTATCCAAAAATTCCTATCACATCAGCTGCAGAGAATGTTACCAAAATTATTATGGTTAATGAAAAGGTGATGGCAGTGGATGGTGTGACAGTGGAGCCAGTTCCGTTACATGTAGCATTGAAAAAATTTCTTTCATGGCTTGAATCGTTTGACAATATTTACATTATTGCCCATAATGGAAGGCGATTTGACTTTATAGTATTGACAGCAGCATATAAAGTTTGTGGATTGCTACCAAATTTCTTGTCGGCTATTACAGGGTTAGTAGATTCTTTACCTGTGTTCAAACATGTGTATCCAAATAGAACTTCATACAAACAAGAGGATCCAGCCCGTGATCTTTTGTGCAAGGGCTACAATGCACATAATGCAGAAGCTGACGTAAAATGTTTATCGGAGCTTGTGTCCCTGATGGTGTCAACGCAAAATGATTGTATGATTGTAAAAAGTTTTCCTCCGATTGATATTAAATTCAATATGGACTGTCATAAAGAAAAAAAGAAAAATTTTCCAACTCTCAAAGTACTTATTGCAGCTGGGGTGATGAAGAATGCAACTGCTGACAATATTGCAAGTTCCGGTCTGAACTTTGAACACTTAAAAACAATATTCAGGAGAAAAGGAGAAGATGGACTGTTAAATGTTTTTACTGCAAAAAATAGTGAAGGCCAACCTCGAGTAACCAACGCAAAGAGGACTCTAGAGTCTGTGGTGCCTAAACTTGCAGCTTACTTTGAAAAAAATTGTTAAAGCTCATTTTGTATGTGCAGTATTTTCTAAAGGGTAATATGGTAAACACATAAAACATATAATGAGTTACACTTATGCATTATGAATGTATATTACAGACATGTTCTACATACTTTTGGATTGTGTAATGTATTTGCAAGTATTATTTTTATTTTTCATGTTTGGTGTACTCAATCTAGATAAATTTGGAAAACATGTTTATCAAAACTAGACTATATAGGAGTTATTTACTACAACACTTTCATAACATTGATTGCATTATTTGTTAAATGTCAGACCTGATTTTTTGTATGGATGGAATATGACTAAATATTATTTTTAAAAATAGTGAAATGTTAGTGGGTGGGATATAGGCTCATATTGTTCAATTTTTTAGTGTTATTAATACTATTTTGAGCCTTGAAAAGCAGTTTTTTCACAATAGTTTAGCTAAAACATTTGGTATTAAATGTATTACTATTTTGAAACATTAATTTATGATGGAAGCAATCTAGTTATGTTTAAATTTTGATTTTTTGCTACATAAACAAATTTACTCAGATTTTTCATGTGTCGACCAGTAAGCGACAATAAATTAAAAAACTTTTTTTTTCAAAACTAGACGGTAAATCTTTTTGTAATTTGGTACAAAGCTTTTATACATATTGATATCAATTTCTGGTAAATTTCAGGTCTGTCACTTTATTCATTTTTTTTTTGTCGATTTTTTAAAAACGTTCACAGTTTTCTGAGAGTGGTAAAAGCTGGGGTGGGTGGGGTAATGATTTTTTATTTTTTTCAAATATGTTGAATGAAATCAATATTTATGAAGTATTGTATTGTTGAGCAATATATTCTGTATGACATTAGGCCAGTATGAATGAAATTTTCTTTCAGTTTCAATAAAGAAGAATTTTTATTTATTTACTGTTTGTTTGATTTTTGAAGGTTATGGGTGGGGGTACAAAAATAACAATTACTACCTTAATAAACGGTGAAAGTTTTTATTATTTCATGTGTAAGTGTCTTACCTGATATAGAAAAGAACTAGCATGAATTTTTTTCAAATTGCAATATTGACCATTATGGGGCTCAGATCTTAAGGGGAAAAAAGATATAGATGTGACTCTCTATAATGTAGTTTAGTATATAGTATAAATAACGTCATAATTTTCCCAAAATTGACTTTCATATATTTTTTACCCTCCCTACCAGCGCCCAGCATCTCCCCCTTTTCCTAAAAACCCCACTGGATTTGATGAACATGTTAAACTATTGTCTAATGATCTTTATATCGACTTTTGGTGAAATTAACTAGGCATGATCACTGTTCATCGTTAAACTTCATGTTGCTAACTAGTGTACAAAATTAACACATGAAACAGAAACAGACATAGATACATTGTAAATGTAATAAATAAGTTACCTGTATTTGTAAAGAAACTAGTTCTCCTTCAAGATTCTGTTAGGTGTTTGAGCATGGAGAGCATTTCTTTTTGTTCATCTGTAAAAACCGGATCTCTTCTTCCCTAGCTTGCAACTTTACGTTACCATTCCGGATCATTTCATCTATAAAAGATGATATTAAACTGATAAATCTATGAGAAAGAGCCTCAATTCTGAAAAATATATGTGCCATTATTTAATAAGAAAAGGAAAGTTAATTGCTGCATTTTGACATTTTTCTGCACTAATTTTTTGTTACTTTACCAAGTATTCAAAATACACAATTTGATTTTATAAGTTTTATTGAAAAAAAAAGACATTTCAGAATGAGATTCATAATTGTCTGATGTCATTTTATAATTTTAACATGTAGTATGTAATTCAAAATGTAAATTGATCTATTCATTTAATGATTATACAAAAATCAAAGTATGTACATTTGTATTTTAAGACCTTCGATGGGAGAAAAGAAAAAAGGTCATTATAGACAGGGAGTCACTGTGGACAGTCTCTACATAATTCGGATATATGAACATATCATAATAATATTTGGTTGAAAAGCAGGATAGTACCATACTAAGGGTTTAATTATATTTTTATTGATATTAAACATATCAAATATCATTTATAAAAAAACAAGACAGTGTATAATTGGTTAAGATTATAAACTACACCATTACATTAGTATTTAAAAGTTACATATTGATTAAAAATGTAATTTATATTGATAAATCTGTTTGTAAAAATAAATGTTCCCAAAAAAAATTAACAATCGAGGTTTCGAACATAACCACACCTTTAAGACGTTTGGCTTTGTTTATCTTTACTCGCCCAAACACCGCAGCAATTATGTATATGCAGGTGTCTTTAATCATTCTATCGGCGAAAATTGATTGAATCTGTTGCCATTTTGTGTAATTGTCAACAAACAGCCACAGTGTATTAGCGTGTCGCCGATTGGTCAATGCAAACTGCCGTAGATACAACGCGCGTTCTGATTCGTCAATCGCATGAATACGTAATGAGAAAGATATACATTAAACTTTGTTTATGTTGAAACGCGTTCTTTATTAGCGGATTAACGGTAATTGGTTGTAATTGATAGGTAAATAAATTGTTAACAGACCTAGCGGCGTAAATAAGTGTGATAGAAAATTATAACAAGAGGGCCATGATGGCCCTGAGGTCGCTCACCTGTATATAGGCCCCCCCACACCCCCAACGTTGCAGGGCCAATTTAACCCAAGGGCTTTTATTTGCACAATCTTGGTAGACACCCATAAGAAGATGTTTCATGCTAAACATCTAAGCTCTAGCTCATTGGGCTTTTTAAAAGAAGATTTTTTTTAAGTTTTTACTATACACATATAGTTAAAAACAATGACACCCCTGGGGCGGGGCCAATTTTGACCCCAGGTCTTTTATTTGAACAAACTTTGTAGACACTCACTAAAAGATGTTCCATGCTTAATATCTTAACTCTAGCTATTTGGGTTTTTTCAAAGAAGATTTTTTAAGTTTTTGCTATACACATATAAGGAAAATCAATGACCCCCGGGGCGGTGCCAATTTTGACCCTAGGGCTTTTATTTGAAGAAATTTGGTAGACACCTATTAGAACATGTTTGATGCTAAATATCTTAGCCATAGCTCTTTGATTTCTTTAAAAGAAGATTTTTTAAGTTTTTACTATATGTATAGGGAAAATCAATGACCCCCCAGGGCGGGGCCAATTTTGACCCCAGGGCTTTTATTTGAACAAACTTGGTAGACACTTATTAGAACATGTTCCATGCTTAATATCTTAGCTCTAACTCTTTTGGATCTTTAAAAGAAGATTTTTTAAGTTTTTACTTATGCATATAGGGAAAATCAATGACCCCCTGGGGAGGGGCCAATTTTGACCACTGGGCTTTTATTTGAACAAACTTGGTAGACACCTATTAGAACATGTTTCATGCTCAATATCTTAGCCATAGCTCTTTGAGTTCTTTAAAAGAAGATTTTTTAAGTTTTTACTATATGCATATAGGGAAAATCAACGACCCCCCGGGGCGGGGCCAATTTTGACCCTAGGGCTTTTATTTGAACAAACTTGGTAGACACCCATTAGAACATGTTTCATGCTAAAGATCTTAGCTCTAGCTCTTTGGGTTCTTTAAAAGAAGATTTTTAAAGTTTTTACTATATGCATATAGGGAAAATCAATGACCCCCCGGGGCGGGGCCAATTTTGACCCCAGGGCTTTTATCTGAACAAACTTGGAAGACACTCACTAGAAGATGTTTCATGCCAAATATCTAAGCTCTACCTCTTATGGTTTTTGAAAAGAAGATATTTAAAGTTTTTTCTAGTTCTGCATGGAATTAAATTCTTTGAACAATTTTTAAAGTTGACCACCAAAGGAACATTCCTGTGAAGTTTGGATGAAATTGGCTTAGTGGTTTATGAGGAGATGTCATTTAAAGTAAAAGTTTACGGACGGACGGACGCCGGACGAAAAGCGATCACAAAAGCTCACCCTGTCACTTTGTGACAGGTGAGCTAAAAATCGGGCGACTTCAAAATCCCTTTGAAGTTTGTTTTAGGCAAAGTCGTTGATCCGAAGGCGACTTCTTCGCCCAAGTCGCCACCTAGTTCAAGCCTTGCTCCCCTTGCAAAAGTCGCTTTTCACGGCTCAAATACTGTAACGGGTGACTAAATCATGGTCGTTGTACAGACTAGACAGGGAGTCGCTACATACAGACCATTTATATAGTAAATACTGTTCGGCGCACCTAACTACGGTCACTAAAGACAGAACGTCGCTATATACAGGGGGTCACTAAGACAGTCTTTACTGTATAAAAAGCTTTACCTTGAATGTCAACTTTTTCCTAGAAAATGCACACCTCATTTCTTTCAATCAATTTTCTTTCTTTCAATACCTCTGTGATAAAATAAATACAGTAATAGTTAATTAAAGAAATGAAAAAGCTATGAAATATACACTATGCAGTTATGCATTTTATTATCTAAATCAGTATTTGATTATAGCAAATGTTCAATAATAAATTTACCTATTGCAACATGAGCAACACATTTATCTTGGGTTATTTGTGCAATTAGCTACATTTATCACCACTGTTTGGTTGCTATAGAAACTTAATTTTAGTGGCCATTATTTACCTCAAGAAGTTTAATGAAGAGAATTATGTGCTTCTTATTTATTTAAACATTTTGTTTATAAATGTTCATATACATAATACTTTACAAATAAAACTGACTGTACATGAACAAACTAAATTTGAATCTGTAGATACTTTTTTCTAAAACACGTTCTCTCCATTGAGATAGGCTACAAATGTTATCACAGTCATCCAGAAACAATCATACAAACCTCTCATTCCTATGTGTTATGGCTTTTTCATATCTATTTCTTAATTTTATCATCTGTTCCTATGCCGGATTAATCATAGTGTTTAATTTTGAAATGTCCATTTTCTGTTGTTCACGTTTTTCATGCATTTCTTCCTCAATTCTTTGCTGCCTGAAACCATCTCTCATTACTGTTCATATGTTTTAATCTCTGTTTTTGTAGATGTCTGAAATATAGTTATCATCAGAACAAAATGAAATGAGCAGTTTATGTTATAAAAAGAGACATTCTACATTCAAATGACAAAATACTAATGCAATCATAGCAGATGAAATTTGTAATAACATTAAAATGTAAATACTAAAATCGAAATAAATGTGCGTTGACGCTATTATATCATAAAATTTTAAAAAAGATTCATGATGTATATTTAAAACAAAACACATACATTAAATCCTTTAGCTTGGAAGGTATTTATCCAATTCTACATGCTTTACGTATGTGTTTTATTTTTCCGGTGCCAACTACATGGGAAATGCTCAGAACCGTTCAAAATTCGAATTTTAATTGATTTAAAAAAGCTTATCATTTGAGATTTATTAACTCAAGAAAAAAACAACATAAAATTACTCTGCCAAGACCCTCAGAAATTCTTAGAATGATTTCAGTTTGATGGTAGAAAAAAGATCAGTGACATCAGATTTTTTTTTTCAAGCAAACATTTAGTTTATGAAAGAATATCAGGCACTTAACATTATTCTCTCAAAGAAATATAAAAAGCATTTATCAATATAAACATTAATAAAACAACATTTTCTCATATTCATTTTGTGTTTTCTAAGTTAATTTGAGCGTTAAACTGAATCACATTATTTGTTTACATTATCATAACATTGACAACTGTCCATTTCTTAGAAAGGGCGACAACCAAGATTAGCGGCGATGTCTATTTGCCGTATTTCCGACATAGTTACTTGAATTTACTCGCCGTTATGCGATTGAGGCCCTCACATCAATAATTTCAATATAACAAACAGGCCAAATCGTCATTTTTGTGTTTGTTTACTTGACCCTGTATGTATTGCCCGTAGGTAAAACTGGGCTATAACAAGAGCCATTACAATGTTAACACATGGTTTTGGTCCCATTATAACATGGGCAAAAGAGGCAAAAATAGCCGATTTTATGCTATAATAGATAATATGACAACAAAATCAATGTGCTATGACATCACAATAGGTATCAGGGCTTCCATTAAGTTTCAAAATTTGGAAGTCAGAGACATCAAAATCTCTGATATTGGAAGACACATTATATATGTAAAGAAGGAAAAGCATAAAATCAAGGAGTAAATGACTCCCAAACTTCCATTAATGGAAGCCCTGAGGTATAGTATCATAATGATCATGTTATGACATCACAAGATGTGTAATGACATCACAATAGATGATATGACATCATAATTTATACAACATGACATCATCATAACAGATGATATGACATCATAATTCATACAACATGACATCATAATTGATGATATGACATCATAATTCATACAACATGACATCATAACAGATGACATGACATCATAATTCATACACCATGACATCATATCAGATGATATGACATCATAATTCATACAACATGACATCATAACAGATGATATGACATCATAATTCATACAACATGACATCATAACAGATGATATGACATCATAATTCATACAACATGATATCAAAATTGATGATATGACATCATAATTCGTACACCATGACATCATAATTGATGATATGACATCATAATTCATACAACATGATATCATAATTGATGATATGACATCATAATTCATACAACATGATATCATAATTGATGATATGACATCATAATTCATACAACATGACATCATAACAGATGATATGACATCATAATTCATACAACATGACATCATAACAGATGATATGACATTATATAAATAACACATGGGATTGTGGGTAACAGTAAAAACATCATCCCAAGGAAAATACTGTTACCATGTGTTACTATTTATCTATTACACCGAACAAAAATACTGTGATGATCTGAAAATGTCAACTTAATCTAACTTTAAAAAAATAAACCAAGAGTAACAATAACTTAACTGTTTTAAGTGTACTTTAGGCATATTCGAGAAGTTTTCTTTTTTGTTTATTATTCTTTAAGCAAGTGATGATTTTTACTAGTCATAAACATACAATCAGCTCTGTTTTATTTAGTTTTATTTAGAAAACAAAACACTAACCAAAGTTTATGTGATGCAATCAGTAAGTACAAAAATATACATCCAATTTACAGGTTCGTTTTAGTTCTCATACTGTCTTGAAATGTTTGAATAGAGCGATGATAATGCACAAAAGAAATTGTAAAATGAAAATAAAACGTCACTGTGTATCAATAAAATCAGACAGATTTTTGTATGCATATGGATGTACATCAAGCAAAATTAGTTTTAAATCTTTGTATGAGACCCAATAATATTTAGTAATAAATTAAAACATGCAGCATTTGTCATTCAATCTCCTCAATATACTATGCAGAGGTAGAGGTAGCTTTGTACTTCAAAAGTACAAAAATTTGAGCCAACCTGTATTTTCAAGTATTATAAAAGGGCAATTCTTAGCTCATTTCATTTGTTGCTGATTAATTGCACAATATAAATGATTATTGTGGAAAAATAGGTGAGGGATCGGTCTGAAAATTTGCACACAAGCTTTAAATGGAGTCTTTTTCATAGTCATTTGCAATACTATACACATAAGGAAAATCAATGACCCCTTGGACGGGCCAATTTTAACCCCAGGGCCCTTATTTGAACAAACTTGGTAGACACTCATTAGAAGATGTTTCATGCTCAATATCTTAGCTCTAGCTCTTTGGGTTTTTTCAAAGAAGACTTTTTAAGTTTTTACTGTATACATAGTAAACATAGGGAAAAACAATGACCCTCTGAGTCAGGACAAATTTTGACACTAGGGCTTTTATTTGTACAAACTTGGAAGACACCAAATAGAAGATTTTCATATCTAATATCTAAGCTCTAGCCATTTTGGTTTTTTTAAAAGAAGTTTTTTTAAGTTTTCACTATATACATATAGGGTAAACAATGACCCCCTGAGGTGGGGCCAATTTTGACCCAAGGGCTTTTATTTGAACAAACTTGGTAGACTCTGACTAGATGATGTTTCATGCCAAATATTTCAGCTCTAGCTCTTTCTGTTTTTTTTAAAAGAAGATTTTTAAGTTTTTTCTTTTGGTTGCCATGGTAACCAGAGTTCTGCATGGAACTTAATTCTTTGAACAATTCACTACCAAAGGTACGTACCATTCCTGTGAAGTTTGTATGAAATTGGCTTAGCAGTTTATGAGGAGATGTCGTTTGAAGTAAAAGTTTACGGACAGATGCCGGACGAAAAACGATCACAAAAGCTCACCATGTCACTTTGTGGCAGGTAAGCAGCACTGAACTTTTCATTATAAATTAAGTAATGCTTCTAAATTACAGCTGCTACAAGGAAAAACATATAATATATGACTTACTTATTAAAGGGACTCCACTGAGGTTTTTTGACATGATGGGACTGGAAATATTTTTTTGAGATTAATACTCCATTTGATGTAGATCTAAACTAATAACTTATGTGCAAAATTTCAGATCATCAGCTTGCTCCGTTTTTCTAGAATAATAATATTATAATAGTGAAAAATGACCCAAAATTGAAAAGCGTTAAAACGCTTTTCATTCAAATCAAACTGAGAATTAGTACAATCATGATTTTCAATGTATTTCTTGTGTATTTCTTAGTTACCGTATAAGTACTTATTTCTGCGGGATTAATATTCTGCGATTTTTGTCAAAATAAGGGGTTTTAAATTTCTGCGTATCTTATTTCTGCGGTGTCATCTTTCTCGCATTGATACGTTTTATTTCTGCGTTTTACATTATTTCTGGTTTAAAATGCAGACGACTAATGATGTTTTTTTCGTATTCATCATGCATGTGTTTATACACGTAAATATAATAAAGAACAACAACATGCAAACACAATTTGAATAAAAGAACATCGATTGTTTCTTTAACGTTGACGTTTGAAGGTAAGTGTGAAAATAAAACAATGGCAAATCGAACATAGACAAAAGCTACATGTTTTGTATAAATACAAAAGACTGTTTACTACAGGCATTTATTACAATAACAAACAAGGGTTATTTTCTATTATGTCTTTGATAATGATATCGTTAAATATATTTAAAAATGAGAAGATTAAAACAGCGATATTAACAACGGTAAAAACATGAACACAATTTTAGTATTCAATTGCAATGATATACAATATACATTTTTATCGAGAATTTTTTAGTATCATATAAAAATATTCCGAAAAAAAAAGATGATTATTTAAACAAATAGAACAAGCAAAGTAGGGATTTGTTTCTAATCGTTTATTCACGACGGATACGTAAAGAAAAAATCCCAAAACCATTAATCTCTACAAAAGCAGATAACGATACATGGTAATTTAATTATACAATATTGATAGTTAAAAATATTCCGACAGATACATAGGGAAAGGCTTAATTTTCTGCGGTTTTTAAATCTGCGGTGTTGTTATGAACCGCAGAAATAGCAGAAATAAAGTTCCCGCAGAAAAAAGTACTTATACGGTATATTTCATTAATATTTCTGTTTCAAGTGCTCATGTTTATCTATGTGAAGAAATAAAATTTTATGTTTTTAAGCTTATAAACCTCAGTGGAGTTCCTTTAAATGATAGCAATAGTACCTGACAGAAATTTACTGTAAATAAACAGCTTTTGTTTAAGTTATGAATCTACCTTTATACTGTACATAGTATAACATTTTTGCAAATTACCTAAATTACCTATATTTACAGTTGAACTTTGTCAGCTTGTCCTTGGATAGCTTGAATACCTCCCTTGGCTCGACCTCATTGCCCAGTCTTTGCCAACTTCCTATGTTATATATATTGTTACAATGTACCTCGGATCGCTAGAACACAGATTGCTGGTACACTCGAACCTGATCCCTGGTCCCTTCTGCAGAAATATAGTGTAAATCACATCTCGGTAGAACACAATATGACAACAAAAGTTGTGGGTTAACATGTTCTAAATTAGTGACAGTTGGCGTCACATATTTTTAACACCTTGTGATTGTGATAAAGGCAATAAAGGTTAAATGATACAAAATTAGAGGTGTTACCAATTTGTTTGTTATGATAATATTGTTTATTTGCCGTGTTTAGTAACAATACAAAGAAAATACCATGTGAAATAAATAACTTTTTCCAAGTGTTATCGGCTACTTTAACTATAAACACAGTTTTCAAATGCCAGTGAAAAGAAATAATAGAAAAAAAAACTTTCTGTTAGTTTGTAGTATTTGAAATGTCTAATAAAAGCATGCATAACACTAGGATTCAAATTTATAACACATATTTAAATGTTTTTCATTGTATCTACTGTCTAAGTCGATATATTGTCGATATTGTCTCTCGATATATCAACAATGCAAAATTTTCCATCAATGACAGCCCTAGTGTACTGTGAGTCAATTTGAAAACACTGTAATGTATTTTTTACGACAATATTTCTTAATATTTAGAAGAAATGACATTTTCGACAAACTGGTGTCTAACAAAAAAAAAAAAATCTCTGAGAACAAGTGAGCTAAAATTGGTTAATTAGTATTATAATGCCCTAGAAATTTTACCTTTTGTGATTTCACTGGATTTCAGTTTTGTTTTATTTCTACTTTCACTATCATTTTGAGAAGCTTTTACTGGCGACAACACAGTAAATCATGTAATGTCCTATTGAAACTTACAGGACATCAAAGTTAATCTATTTATTGTGCCAGCTATTTAATCTTTCCTGATTCTGGAAGCTTTTCCCTGAATGTTCTCCTTGGTAGAATCCTGTGTCACTGTGTTTAATCTGTGTTTGTGACTTCTGTCAAAAAAGTTAATTCCTTTATTTCACACTCAAGATGTTTAAGTTTGGTTGTATATGATGCAGCCACAATTAATATATAAATCTGCATAATAAATCCATTTGAATTTAATTGCAAACATTGTATATTTATGATAAATTGTTATGCACTTTTCCGGACTCCACTTTTCCATGTCGGCCATGTTGGACTATAACGTCTACTGCTATTACGTAGTGAATGCAAGGGATAGTTCTTTATTCGATGATAATAATTTGTTAACTTATATTGTCACTTAGAAAATGTAATATTTTAATGTGATTATTCTTATTATAAGTTTTGATGTATATACTTTGTTGATAAGGTGCCTTTTTTTGGCACAGATGATATCCCACAAAATTGAATTCATTTATCAATTTATTAATTGTTACCAGATTATCAAAGCATAAATTGTCCAGCATTTTGAAATTCCATGTTTATTTGGGAGTACAGTTCAATAAAAAAAAAAAAATCGACCTACCTACCCACCTTGAAAATTCTGGGTCGGGTTACTGCAAACAATCATTTTTTTAAGGATGGCCCCACAGAAAAAGCTGTGGAGCATTCCTTCCACAAGAAAAGCTGTGGGACGTCTTCCCACAAAAAAACTGTGCAGCCCACAAAATATCTTTGGGGCGTTCTTTCAACACAGTTGTGGAATATGTGGGGACTGTGGCATATAAATAGCCAGCTTTCCTTCAGTCAGGAGCTTCAACACCAAAATTTAACTGTGTGCACCATATTGGCTATTTCTTCAAAATTCTCTATACTTTGGCATTTATTCGAAATTATTCTGGTGCACAAAGTTTTTATTAATTTATCTTTGAGGTTTTACGATTTTATCAAATAATCTGACATTTATTTTTGTGAAGTTCAAGTTTTGTTTTGATTAGAAACTTTATTGAGGGAACTTGAGATTGTAAGTTAAAACAATATTTTTATGTGGATCTAACACAATGATTTTTGTGACATAATAGCTGACAGTTAATTTATATATTTGCTTGATTAAGCTGTTTAATAAAACTTTAGAAACTTTAAAAGGTATTTGTAATTTTTCCCTCCTTAATTTCCTGACGTTGAGGTTCAAACTTTATGAATGCTCTGCAGACACTAAATAAGCAGATGACATGTAATGTAATCACGGCGAGCAGTCAAAAGAAAATAACTGTCTACATAAAAACAACACACAGCCATAGAGGGCAGTTGCTGTCTTCATAATCAAATATTGCTTTTACCTCATTCTCTTACTGATAGAAGAGATCGCCATCATTCCAACACAAACTTCTGTCTGAAAAATGCCATCTGAAACTGTAATAATACTTAATGGAGAAATGGGTAAATACAGAATCAGATGTTTTAAAGAAAAACCACAAAAGAAAAATGACTATAATATATATGACTATATATATATATGACTATATTATTATTAATATATTGGCCAAATTTTGTACCATGAATTGTTTAATAGGTATTGTAGCAACCACTTTGCCCGAAGATTGAACTCAGGGCCACTAGATAAATCTGATGCTCTCTCTATTGAATGTCCAACTAAATACATCAATTTAATAACAAAGTTTTAGAAAATTTCTTAAAATTGAAACAAAAACATTGTTGAAGATCATTTTAAGCATTGAATTATTAAAGATAACGTTTAACGGCGACACTTTAATTGCTGCAAAGTTATCACAATTTAAGCACATTTCAATAATTTGAGAGTACTAATGACTCCAGTTTTGTTTTGTTTGGCAGAAATTTGTTGATGGATAATGTCAAATCATGAAATGAAATAAACAAAATTGCCTGTACAACATTATCACAACTTGAAACCTGAAAGCCCTGCAAATTATCCTATTATATAAATATTTGAATATTGTTTACTGGGTTCAAAATAGACACCATGCTATTTCTAATGTCTGGACAGATAAAAATTCTTATCAACAGTTAATAAATTCAATTAATGTCTCCCGTTATTTAAGTGTGATAAATTCTTACCTGTACTTTCTTCACATTTCATAATAACATGGATTATGAAATCTGTCTGAATAGTTGGTCAAGGGATCAAAATATGAGTTGTCTCCCTTCCACTGATTATACATGTATATGTAACTTCTCCTTCTCAATCCTGAAGTCAAGTAATAGATTATGTTAACCCGGGTGTAAAAAGTCCATGCTTTTCCAGGGATTTCCATGGAAAATAAGAGGCTGGAGTATTGGAACAAAATTTTCCAGCCTTTTCCAGCCTGAAGCTGAGAAAAAATGGGCTGGAAAAACAGGGAAAAAACATGGAACATTTTCCATGCTGCATGGAATATTTTCCATGTTTTCCATGGAAAAGCATGGACTTTATTCCATGCTTTTCCATGTACATGGAGTATTGGAACAAAAGTATGGATTTTTTTCCAGGGTATTCCATGTGTCTGCCAACCATAGAGGCTGGACTTTTTACCATGGTAAATAGTCCAGCCTTGATGGAATAACATGGAAAAAAATCCAGCCTAATTCCAGCCTCCCTGAATGTTCTTAAAATTTAAAATTATCTGACGGAATTCAGCACAGGAATGTTTGGGGTGGAATTTTTATTAGTTTAACATGATCAAATATTTCTTTCACAAAATTTAATACATATCCTTTAGTCCAAATACAGAATAGAACATCCTACATTCACTATAGCACAAACAGTTTTTTTTCTAGCTGCAGGTTTGGTAGCTAGGTTCATGTTGACTTATAAATTTTAGCAATTATTTTGCTCTTAATCTGTCAATGAGAAACTGTTTTAATCTTAAATTTGTTTCAAGTGTTTCTGATTATTTAAATTACTATTTCTTTTATTGATGTCCATTTTCAGTCCTCTGCCTGTGTTTCCTAGAACTTCTTGTGGTTGTGCTCACCTTTAAAGATAAAATTCATAATAAATTTAACACAGATGTGGTAATGACTTATGTTTTATTGCATATAAATATTATGCAGTTATATATCGTATCTTTTAATAACATCAAATCTAATGTTTCAAATGTATTAACTATTAAATATTAACTATGCTTATGCATATTCAAAAAAACTTAAGCAATGCAGTATATCTTATTTCAAAGTGCACAAGTGTTTAAGAATTTCTCTGTACATGTATAAGAATCAAGTCAATTTGTGACAATATTTATCACCCAGTATGTATTTTTTCAAGAAAAGACATGGAATAAAAAAGTACACGTATTGAGATTTAAAAATATACCTTTTCAGGATAAATACTGCACATCATTATTAAACACTGCCGCTAATTCTCACAGTCAGCACTTATGTCCCAGCTTGCAAGTTATGTAATTGTATAATGTAAAATGTAATTTTAGATTGTTCCATTGAGAACACTACACATACATGTAAATATCAAATGATTATGATGACCCTGTTCAGCTGTACAAAACTACTGATTGTACCATTTAGTCCTTTAATTTGTTTTATTTGTAGGAATGAAAAAGATCTACTAACAATTGTCATTTAAACAATATACATTATAAAGAAATCATTGAATAATTTATATTTTACAGATTATACATGTATAGATTGAAAACAATTATCAGAAAAAACAAATGCATGAAGTTGAAAATATAAAAACAACCTTGATCTCTTGTTGAAAATGTTAATAGTTTGATATATAACCAGTGTTTCTGCATTAATGTAACTTAAGGTTTTATAAATACCTGATTCTGTTGTATATCTCTTTGTCCCAGGTGATTCTAATTGTTATCATACCAATACTTAAACACTTTAAAGTCTTAAACAAAACAACATCTCCAAAAACTGCTAAAATATCAAGTACATCCATTTGCACTCTTTGCTGACCCAGATATCTTAGAATTCAAAATTTACAACAGTTACTGGACAGGTCTATCATTATGTAAAGCAGGGTTTATCTGCTCATCATTTTAACTTTTATTCTTTGAGCGTAAAAGAAAATATCAAATAGCTAATAGATATATAGATTTTAAAGATCATTACAAATTTTTGTACAAAAAAAGATTGCAATTTCCTTCTAGATAAATTCTTCATATGAAATTTATAATGTTATTTCTCCCCAAAATAATCACATGGAACAGCCTGATCTGAAATGACCAGTGGAGTAAATTAGTCATGCACAGATGGTTAGAAAATGCTGGTCAATGAGTTTTATCAGAGCTCTGATCTGTGTAGTGTAAAATCTCTGTGGATGTAGTATTTATTTTCCTAAATATTGGTCAATTTGATAGAATATATAATTATGAGATTCTTTCATGCACTGTTTTGTTTTGTTTATTTATTTATTGTTATCCAAAAACATGAATTCTTACAATTTAAAAATGGCAAGCAATGCCATCCCATCTTGATTATTATAGTGTCTGAATGATTTAATCACAGACTTTAATTAATTTATAGTTAAACTTAAAGCCTGTAATTAAATGGATATTATTTCATTGTACAAATTAACTTCATGTAGATTTATTTAAATAATAATATGTATTTTGAACAATCAATTCATTTATGTCTTTAGCATAGACATTTTTCTGAGATACCCTTTTCCAACTACCGTACATAAAAAGTATAAATTTAAAGTGTCAAATTTCAAATCATTTACAGTAACTTGCATTAAAATAAATGATGATTGTATATTTTCTTCCTAAATTTACAATATTGTGCTGAATATATAAAGTAAGATTTCTTGCAATTTTTACAAGTTTTTTCCAGCATACTTAGAGAAAGTTTAACACATTTCCAGCATCAAAAAAATCTAAGTTCCACTTTCCATGCTACATGGAAGTAAAGTCCATGGTTTTCCAGGCTTTTACCACAAATGTCCAGCCAATTTCCAGCCTATTCCTGAGCAATGCTGGAAATGGCTGGACAAAAAAAAATCCACATAGCATGGAAAAAATACCAATTTTCCATGAATTTCCATGAAATTCCATGCTTTTCCATAGTTTTTCCAGGGTTTACCAGCCTCTCTTCCAGGCTTACCCTGGAAAAATCTACACCATAATGTACACATATTTTTTACATATTTTTTATACTTTTGATATAATCTTGTAAGGGATTTATTTCATGTAACATCTTTAATGATAAAATAAAAGGAAGAGTTGTAATTATATATTAATGTTAATGACCAGAACCCGCAAGCACAATGCTTATAAATGTTCACTTAATCTTTTTTACATTTACATGTAGTATAAAATTTATATATTCACAAACTATTTATAACTGTTCTAAACTAAGTATAACTAAATTTTATGTTAATTTAACTAACTTTCTACAACAATGAAAAACTGATTTCTTCAATAAAAAATAAATTCTTTGAATACAAATCACTTTATACAAATTTAAACATCTACTTATTGGGCCAGCTGGTCAAAAAAATCAAAATTTAAGTTGCCTCCCTTGCACTGTAAATAAATATACAAACTAAATCTTGTAAATATAATTTTTTTTGTAAAAGAAAAACCAAAACCAAAAATAATGCTCAACAATAGCAACATGACTATATAAACTATATATGGTGCAACTTTATTTTATCCGTAAAAAATAAAATACATGTACATCATTACTCGGTGTATAGTAACTATGAAGTTTAAAGTTGTGTGTGATTTTACAAACTTGCAATAAATTGTGTGCAATTTATTGACTTAACACTTTAAAAAAATGGACAGAAATAAAAAAACTCTTAAATAGTTCATATTGTGAAGTCAATCTACACATTTCAGTATTCATGTTTTAGTTTATATTACATACTTACATGGGGCGTCCGTGGCCGAGTGGTTAAGGTTGTTGACTTGCCCCACACCGCTGTGGGTTTGAATCCCGACAATGACTGGATTCTTTCATGTGAGAAAGCCTTCGAGCTAGCTTACGGAACTTAGGTGGTTCTTCTCAGGTGCCCGTTCGTGCCTGAATGCACGGAGGGGCACCTGAGGTCTTCCTCCACCAGTAAAGCTGGAACGTCACCAAATGACCTATACTGTGTCGGTGTGACGTAAAACCCAATCAAACAAACAAACATACTTACGTGAACAAGCATACTTGACTAAAATAGGGTTTTATAAGCTAAAATCAGTAGCTTTACCAGTATCTTGGAATAACACTTGCCCCTGGTGAACGAAAAAGCCTGTAGACACAAATAAAATTAAACCAACACTTACTATATGCCTGTCACAATTTTACTTTTCTGTTTTGTTTCATAGGCTCTTGTACATGATTTTCTTGTTGCTCTGCTTTCCTTAAAACAACATGGATTTTCCATTTCTGGCTGTTAAGTTTAAGAATCCAATTATCTGGAGGTATGAAGACATCAGAAACCCAGCCTGAAATAATTAAAGTCCAATAGCATAAAAATTTATACTTATAATGAAACTCCCAACATGCCATATAATAACTATGCTTATTTTGGTCCACTAATAGTCAATTCTCCTGAGCCCATGATGAAACTGGATGAGAAGTTATAAAACAGAATAAATCAGCCATATTTTGAAAAATTTCCCTTACTTAACTGTAAATATATGTTAATTCTTTTAACTCTTTGTGTGGAGAGAATCGTTGATTTTACAACTTACAGTAAACTCCACTTACAACAATATCCCTGATAATAATGTTGTTTTGTGGTCCTACTCTCAACTTTTGGCCTATCAGATATACTTATATAAATTCAGAGGTCCCCTGAATATCATTATAATAGACAAAAGCAACCTTTTTTTTTGGATATTTATTGCAAATAACTCATGTTAAAATTGATAATTGAAGAGCCAGGGAACAGTATTCTGAGGGTCTCGGGTTCGAGTCCCGTTCAGGCTGCACATTTTTCTCATCCTGTGACAGAATGATTTAAATTTATCCACTGCAATTAAAGCAAAATTTAAAAACTTTACCATGACAGTCAAGGTCACATTGAGCTCAAATTTGAAGTTTTCAACATGCCAGTTTTGCAATAAGTTTTAAACTTAACAATTTAAGCAAAATTCAATATGACGTTGAAATCAAGGTCATTTAAGGTCAAGGTTTTTTTCTAAAAGATTCTTTTGGTTGGGATTTACGTCAGGGCCGGCAAAATCTGATTTAGACTTACTTGTCTGTTTTTATGAATCATTATTTAACTTGTCTGTATGATATTTACATAGTCAATTCTTGAAAATTTTCATTTGTCCGTACAGACTGAGGGTCAACCTGGTCAATACGGACAATTGATTTTGCCGACCCTGTATGTCATATGAGCTACAGATCAATCCTATTAAGTTTCAGAACTATCACGAAAGGTGATTCATACATCCACCAGCAGGGGCGTCCGTGGCCGAGTGGTAAAAGTGATTGACTTCAAACCACTTGCTTCTCACCACTGTGGGTTCGAATCCCGAAAGGAGGAAGCTATCCAGCTAGCTTACGGAACGTCGGTGGTTCTACTCAGGTGCCCATTCATGCCTGAACGAATGCACAATCAAACATTCAACAGCAACCTGTTTTGGAAATTAAGGCATAGATCCCTGACCTATCTAATTCTTATTATCAGATTAGTGGATACAATAACAATTTAATCACTACCTATCTGTTAATAAAAGAGCACATGTCAATGTTTGTGGTTAAATCTATTGTTATTCAAATAAAAGTCAGAGAAGGGATCTATTATAATGGTCTTAAGCATAATTTGAACTCAACCTATAATGTTTTAACAGTATACAAATAATTATTACAATTAATTGCCCATCTTCCAGAAAGCCCGTTCGTGCCTGAAATAATGCAGGATCAAACAAACAAAAATCCACCAGCAACCTGTTTTGGAAATTAAGGCATAGATCCCTGACCTATCTAATTCTTATTATCAGATTAGTGGATACAATAACAATTTAATCACTACCTATCTGTTAATAAAAGAGCACATGTCAATGTTTGTGGTTAAATCTATTGTTATTCAAATAAAAGTCAGAGAAGGGATCTATTATAATGGTCTTAAGCATAATTTGAACTCAACCTATAATGTTTTAACAGTATACAAATAATTATTACAATTAATTGCCCATCTTCCAGAAAGCCCGTTCGTGCCTGAAATAATGCAGGATCAAACAAACAAAAATCCACCAGCAACCTGTTTTGGAAAACAAGGCATAGATCCCTGACCTATCTAATTCTTATTATCAGATTAGTGGATACAATAACAATTTAATCACTACCTATCTGTTAATAAAAGAGCACATGTCAATGTTTGTGGTTAAATCTATTGTTATTCAAATAAAAGTCAGAGTAGGGATCTATATAATGGTCTTAAGCATAATTTGAACTCAACCTATAATGTTTTAACAGTATACAAATAATTATTACAATTAATTGCCCATCTTCCAGAAAGCCCGTTCGTGCCTGAAATAATGCAGGATCAAACAAACAAAAATCCACCAGCAACCTGTTTTGGAAATTAAGGCATAGATCCCTGACCTATCTAATTCTTATTATCAGATTAGTGGATACAATAACAATTTAATCACTACCTATCTGTTAACAAAAGAGCACATGTCAATGTATGTGGTTTAAAATCTATTGTTATTCAAATAAAAGTCACGGATCTATCAATAGTCTTAAGCATAGTGTGAACTCAACCCATATTTTATAATGTTTTAACAGTATACAAATAATTATTACAATTAATTGCCCATCTTCCAGAAAGCATTTTTCTTTTCTTTAGTGACAATGACCATGACCCAACAACAATCCCAAGCTAGGTCTCTACATAAGCTTGCTAAATACTGTAACAATATCTCATTCCTAGCAACTTTAATTGTCTACAAAAGATTTTTAAGTAACAGTGAGCTTGATCCAAAGGGGGTCCAAAAGCAATCCCAATTGGGGTCTTCTTATAAGATTGCTTCATAATAAATTTATTTGATCATAATATCTTATTTTATATCTATTATTGCCCAGAAATCATTAATTTTTTAATTTTTTAGTAACAGTGACAGTTAATAAATTCAATTAATGTCTCCTGTTATTTAAATGTGATAAATTCTTACCTGTACTTTCTTCCCATTTCATAATAACATGGATTATAAAATCTGTCTGAATAGTTGGTCAAGGGATCAAAATGTGAGTTGTCTCCCTTCCACTGATTATATATGTAACTTCTCAATCCTGAAGTCAAGAAATAGACTACGTAGACATAATTGTTACATATTTTTTTATACTTTTGATATAATCTTGTAAGGGATTTGTTTCATGTAACATCTTTAATGATAAAATAAAAGGAAGAGTTGTAATTATATATTAAAGGGACTCCACTGAGGTTTTTTGATATGATGGGACTGAAAAAAAATTTCCATATAAATGTACCATTTGATGTAGGTTTAGACCTCTAATCTTTGTGCAAAATTTCAGATCATTCGCGCACTTCGTTTTTCCAGAATAATTATTCACATTGTAAATAAATGACCCAAAATGAAAATCGTTTAAACACTTTTCACTCAAATCAGACTAAGAAAAGCATATTAATACGATTTTCAATTATTTCAAAGTATATTTCTTAACTATCTTTGCATATATTTCTGTCTAAAGTGCCCCAGCTCATTTATGTACGAAATTCAAATGTTATGTTTTTAGGCTTTTAAACCTCAGTGGAGTCCCTTTAATGTTAATGACCAGAACCTACAAGCGCAATGCTTATAAATGTTCATTTAATCTTTTTTACTAGTATCAAATTTATATATTCACAAATTATTTATAACTGTTCTAAACTAAGAATAACTGAATTTTATGTTAATTTAACTAACTTTCACATGAGTTTCTACAACAATGAAAGACTGATTTCTTCAATAAAAAATAAATTCTTTGAATACAAATCACTTTATACAAATTTAAACATCTACCTTACTTTTTTAGCCACTTACTGGGCCAGCTGGTCAAAAAATCAAAATTTAAGTTGCCTCCCTTGCACTGTAAATAAATATACAAACTAATTTTGTAAATATAAGTTTTTTGTAAAAGAAAAACAAAAACCAAAAAACAATGCTCCACAATAACAACATGACTATATAAACTATATATGTTGCAACTTTATTTTATCCGTAAAAAATAAAATACATGTACATGTGTATAGTAACTATGAAGTTTAAAGTTGTGTGTGATTTTACAAACTTGCAATAAATTGTGTGCATGAATTCATTGACTTTACACTTAAAAAAAATGGACAGAAATAACAAAACTTTTAAATTGTTCATATTGTGAAGTCAATCTACACATTTCAGTATTCATGTTTTAGTCTATATTACATACTTACACGGGGCGTCCATAGCCAAGTGGTTAAGGTCGTTGACTTCAAACCACTTGCCCCTCACCGCTGTGGGTTCAAATCCCGACAATGACTGGATTCTTTCATGTGAGAAAGATATCCACCTAGCTAACGGAACTTGGGTGGTTCTACTCAGGTGCCCGTTCGTGCCTGAAATAATGCACTGAAGGGCACCTGAAGTCTTCCTCCACCAGTAAAGCTGGACAGTCACCAAATGACCTATACTGTGTCGGTGTGACGTAAAACTCAATCAAACAAACAAACATACTTCATGAACAAGCATACTTGACTGTAGTAGGGTTTTGTAAGCTAAAGTCAGTAGCTATACCAGTATCTTGGAATAACACTTAATTCCCCTGGTGAACGAAAAAGCCTGTAGACATAAATAAAATTAAACCAACACTTACTGTAATATCCTAGTTAATTGTATGTCATCATGCTAGGAAAGTTATGTATTTAGACATATCCCATAGACGGTGTTAATATAGATTGTTACTGAATAAAATGGTACACACATGTTTATATTAGATTGTTATGTTTACACCCTGAAAATACAACATTGGCGACGAGATGAAAAGAGAAGAATAGATTAAAAATAAATAATAAAGGTTGAAGCATAAACACACCATGGCTGGTATACCTCCGTTCCCGTCATTCGACATAGAAGCCGATAAATCTAGCGCTGCCCACAGATGGAACAAGTGGGTGGGGAGACTGGAAAATTTGCTCGTGGGGCTAAACATTACAAATGACGGCAGAAAGCGAGCTTTGTTACTGCACTATGCTGGTGAAAGAGTTTATGACATATATGACGCTGAAAAAGGGGACACTGGTACAAATTATGACGAAACTAAAAAAGTTATCACCGACTATTTCGCCCCAAAAGTAAACAAACAAATGGAAATCTATAAATTCAGGGCTTGTAAACAAAGTGAAAGTCAATCTCTAGATGAATATGTCACAGAATTGCGGATGCTGGCTAAAAACTGTGAATTTGCTGACACTGAAGAAGAAATATTGCAACAAATAATTCAAAACTGCAAATCAAGTAGACTGCGTCGAAGAGCCCTCCGTGATAATTGCAAAACACTGACCGACATCATTTCACTAGGACGCTCATTGGAAATTTCAGATGAGCAAGCTGCTGCTATGGAATCTCCTAAACCGGCAGACATAAATAAGGTCAAAACATCACAAGACGTACCATATCGTGGACGAAGATGCGCAAGAAGACCTACAAGAGGTGGTCAACAGTTTCGCCCAAGAAATACTGAAACTACAAAATGCAGAAATTGTGGAGGAAGATACCCTCACAATGGACAATGTCCAGCACGTGGCAAAACCTGCAACTTTTGTAAAAAGCCAAATCACTTCATGACAGTGTGCCGAAAAAAGCAAAAGGACCCAGAAGTTAGACAAATTGAAAAGAAAACTGATTCTTGTTCATCAGATGATGATTATTGCTATGCTTTAAAGTCCAACGTGTCGAAAACACCAAAATCAAATGTAAAAATCAACGACGTGCAGGTGAATGTATTGGTAGACAGTGGCGCTTCGGTGAATATTCTTGATGAAAATACCTACAGCATAATTGGTAAACCTAAACTGTCAAACAGAAATTTGCCTAAATTATTACCATACGGCAGCCAATCACCTTTGAAAATAATCGGAAAATGCAAACTAACAATTGAAAAACAAAAAATCATCAGCGTCGAGACATTCTACATTGTACAGGGCAGACATGGAAGCCTTATCAGCTATCAAACAGCATGCAATTTAAATATTATCGAAATAGTCAATCAAATACAAGAAAACAAACAAGAAGATGTGAAGCAAGACAAATATCCAAATCTTTTCAAAGGGATAGGAAACTTCAAGACAACCATGCAACAATAACCGATCCCTTGAGAAAACTTACGAGAAAAAACACAGACTGGCAATGGGCAGAAACTGAACAAGCTGCTTTCCAAGCAGTGTCACCTGTACGAAAATGCCTACCCTGACTACACCCTGATTTGACATGGGATCAGAAATTTATTCCCAGCCAGTTTTTTTTACTATTCAGTTGACTATAGAGAAGACAGAAATCTATTTTTAGATTTTTTAGTATACAATATATAGTGTTTTCAGGGTGGATTCAACAAAATATTTAAATGAGCCAGAAAAAATACCACCCTGAAATGGAAATCCAGGGCAGAATTTTCACTCACACAGATTTCTAAAAATAGATTTACTTCTAGTTAAATTAAGAGCAATTTCAGGGTGGGATCAATTTGAAATATTTAAATGAGCCATAATTCACCCTGATTTCTACTTAAAAAGTCAGGCCAGACTTTTTTCCTTCTGTTATTATCCTGCCCCAAAATTTTGCGAATCCCACCCTGAAATTAAAATAAAAATCCGCCCAGGTTCCTGTTCTTTTTGATAATTGACAAAATAATAATTGAGATTTTTTTTTCACTTATCTGTATTTTATTTTCATACAATTAAATACATTTCAAAAGTCATTCTTGTTTGATATTTCAACTAGATAGCTGCACACTGTATTACATAATTCCACGCTATAGTATCTGTACCACACAATCTGTAAACATATGAAAGCAGTGTAGGAATATTCTGTAGACAGCTTTCAATTTATATATTAATCTAAAAGAAAATGTAACACCTAAATATAGAGAAATATATCCATACAGTGTAGTTTTAAAGGTATAATATTTCATTAATTGCAATCAAAACATCAAAATCAAAAGAAGAAATGATTGATGAAATTATTTTAAAGAAGCTATAGCACTATAAACATATATGTACTGACTTCATGAAGTCATTAATTCCATAAAATTTGCAGGAATAATTGCTTTTAATAATTAAAACTGAAACTAATTTTCATAGAAAATGAAAAAATTAAAAATTACCAGTAATATTTCCTCTATTGTATTATTTTGTTCCAACTACACCATTTTCTTTTTCTTCATCGTCTTGTCACAAATTGTTACTGAAATATTTGGCTTCAACCTAAATTTTTGAATTAGAAAAAAAACAAAAACAAATATCAATCATGTCATCATTTTTATTACATTTTAAGACTTCAGTAGTTTCTTTTTTCTACAAAATGTATAGTTTATTAAGAAATATTAAGAATTATTTCATTTTCCCTCCATATTTTAAAACAGGTGTCCTGGAAATTTATTTAAAATCTTTTCAGAATACTGAGCTTACAAAAATTCATAATTTTATGAAAAATTTAAAAAATATTAAGAACTGTAATTCAATTATAACTTACCATTGATCTGTTACAATTGGCTGCTTATTTCCCTCCATTTTTTCAAATTGAATAATGAAGTTTAACACATCTATTATGCTCCATTTTATATATAAGTTTCACAATAAATTTCCCAAGAAAGTTCTGTATAGCTGGGGTAGTTGAAATCTTAAAATCTTATTTTCTAGGTAATTAACAAAACTCATTTATGTATTAATATATAAATGTAAGTTGATTTATTTGAATTAAAATCACAACTAAAGCCTCCAATCTTTCTTTAGAAAATGACCATGCTGGAAATAATTTTCAGGGTGTGATATTTGCTCTGGATTTTAAACTGCTGTAGGTCAATCTGTGGTAACTTCTCTATTTTCATCTACCAGATAGCCCAGTTTAACATAAAGTATTTTGAAATACTGGATAAAGTTCCACTTGAAGGTTGTTTGTTTATATAAACTGTAAGCTGACCTTAGAGGTAGGAGATTCTGTGCAGATTGTGAGATGGTGGATAAAAACTAAAACTCTTGAACATTACTTATTGCTGACCAATAAATGCATTAAATAATATTTTTTTGTCATCAGTTAAATATAAAAACAATCAATTAGTAGTAACAATTATCAATTTTATATATTACAATAAATCATGTTGAGCTAAATAATCTACATAATTTCAAAAAAAAAATAATAAAAGAATAATTCAGTAAATGAAAAGAAGTTTTGTTTAATGGAGTATACCATAAATCAACTGAAACTTTCCAGAAATATATACTATAATATCTTTTCTTCTGAATTACAATTTTTATTTTGTCTAACAGCAATGTAAACTGTACTATTAGTGTATTACAATATTCATTTCTAATAACTCTAACTAAGAAAAATCTGGCTGGAATTGAAGAACTTTTAAGGACTGTATTGAAACCGTTTCTTGAAAATTTTCTAACTTTGAAATATCTGGGTAGAGTTTGCTTATATTTCTCAAAGTCAGTAAAATCTGTGTCAAAATATTTTCAAAGTGCAAATATTCCTGCTTCCACCCTGACTTTTACCAAAATGAAGATGATATCAGGGTAGAAAAAACTTGAATTCCCATGTGAGATTTCTTGAAAATTCAGGGTCCATGTCTATTTCACCCTGATTTTGCCAATTCTGGTTCAAAACAGGCCTGAATCGGTCCTGTTTTTCATAAAAGCCATGCTGATTTTTCGTACAGACTGCAACATGAACTGTCTAGCGATACTGTCATGAGATATTATAACCCATCAAAAGCAACAGAAATTTACACAGATGCGAGCCCATGTGGTGTGTCAGCTATATTTACACAAGAAAATGGCATTGTCGCATATGCTAGTAGAGCTTTGTCAGACACAGAATCCAGATACAGCCAAACCGAACGAGAGGCTTTAGGTGTTGTGTACGCATGTGAACATTTCAGCATGTATCTACGAGGAGCACCAAAATTCACTGTCATTACAGATCACAAGCCTCTTGAAACCATATGGAAAAAGAAACAGCCACCACTTCGAATTGAGAGATGGGGTTTAAGGCTACAACCTTTCAATATGGTAATTAAATATCAACCAGGAAAAGACAACCCGTCAGATTATATGTCTCGTCATCCAATAATGAATGAACAACATGATAATGTTGCTGAACAGTATGTAAACTTCCTTGCCGAAACTTCCACTGACAGTGCAATGCCACTGGATGAAATTAAACAAGAAACAGCAGGTGATAAAACTTTGTTAAAAGCCATAGAATATGTACGAAACGGCAAGTGGCATGAGCTGAAACAAATAAAAGATTGTGACATCAGTATTGAAGATTTAACTCAGTTACGAAATGTGCGTGATGAATTAACTGTACACTCTGAAAATGTTCTACTGAAAAGCGGTAAGATTGTATTACCCACATCATTATACGCTAAGGCAATAGAGATAGGTCATGAAGGACATCAAGGCATGTCGAAAACAAAAGCATTCGTGCGGTCAAAAATCTGGTTTCCCAGAATGAATGAATTTATTGAAAAAAAACTGCTTAGCTTGTCAAGCAAACACTTATGAAAAGAAATACTCACCACTAAATATGTCAGAACTACCAGTGGGACCATGGCAAGATCTAAGTGCAGATTTCTGTGGACCTCTACCATCAGGGGAATACTTATTGGTCATAACTGATGAATATTCAAGATACCCAATCGTTGAAATAGTCCCATCGGTCTCATCAAACAAAGTTATTCCAGTAATCGACAAGGTTTTATCTGAAATGGGTGTTCCAAGGACAATCAAAACAGACAACGGAAGTCCATTCAATTCTGATGCGTTCCGTAAATTTGTAAGGTACTGCGGATTCAATCACAGAAAAATGACACCAAGATGGCCAAGGGCCAACTCACAAGCTGAAAGTTTCAATAAATCTGTGAAAACAAGCTACCTTGAAGCAAAAAACTGGAGAAAGGAAATGTTTAGATTTTTGCGTCAATACAGAAGTACTCCACATACATCGACTGGATACACTCCTTTCCGCCTGTTATTCCAACGAGAACCACGAACACGACTTCCAGATATAGGGACATCGAAACCTGAAACTAAAATTGATGAGCAAATACGCCAAAATGACGCTAGAGCAAAAGCGAAAATGAAATCCAATTTTGAGCAAAAACACAACATCAGAGAGGAAGAGTTACAACCTGGCGATAAAGTTATAATTGAAAATGAAAACATTACCAAAACAACATCAAAATATATGCCCGTGCCATATGAAATAACAAAAACAAAAGGAAATATGATTACCGCGAAGAACCAGAATCAAGAAATTACCCGAAATTCTTCCAATTTTAAGAAGGTTAGCTCCACCTTAAATAACAACCAAAATTTCGAAGAGGAGACAGAGCAAGCTTTATGTCAACAACAGAAAAAAAGCAAAACGGGCATACAAAATAACAACAGTGAAGAAATAAAGAAATCACCAAGAATAAGAAGAGAACCTAGTCATTTTAAAGATTTTGTCAAATAAAGTTTGTTCCTCATGGTGTTAAAAGGGCATAATAATCCCTCATGAGGACTTATAAAAGTATAGGTCATTTATAACCAAGTGTTCAAGTATTATACAATTACAAATATGTGTTTCTTAAACTTTGAACAACAACAGAACTTTAGTAATTTATGTGTTGATATTACATGAACATTTCTTCAGTTACTTATTTAAAAGAAACAATGAACATGTAGACAAACTTTTAAGTAATAGTTCAACAAAAATATATAGTTTACATAGACATTTATGAACTGAAATTCTAGTCATGTTATTGATTTGATCTAGTCATTCAAAAGTTTTGATTATCATCTTTTTATTCTATACATTTAATTTCATAAATATGATATTCATTTCAGATTTAATGTATATCAAATTTTCTGACTAAGTTGGGAGGAATGTAATATCCTAGTTAATTGTATGTCATCATGCTAGGAAAGTTATGTATTTAGACATAGCCCATAGACGGTGTTAATATAGATTGTTACTGAATAAAATGGTACACACATTTTTATATTAGATTGTTATGTTTACACCCTGAAAATACAACACTTACTATATGCCTGTCACAATTTTACTTTTCTGTTTTGTTTCGTAGGCTCTTGTACAAGATTTTCTTGTTGCTCTGCTTTCCTTAAACCAACATGGATTTTCCATTTCTGGCTGTTAAGTTTAAGAATCCAATTATCTGGAGGTATGAAGACATCAGAAACCCAGCCTAAAAATATTAAAGTCCAATAGCATAAAAATTATACCTATGATGAAACTCCCAACATGCCATATAATAACTATGCTTATTTTGGTCAACTAATAGTCAATCCTCCTGAGCCCATGATGAAACTGAATGAGAAGTTATAAAACAGAATAAATCACCCATATTTTGAAAAATTTCTCTTACTTTACTGTAAAAAAATGTTAATTTTTTTAACTCTTTGTGTGGAGAGAATGTTTGATTTTACAACTTACAGTAAACTCCACTTACAACAATATCCCTGATAATAATGTTGTTTTGTTGTCCTACTCTCGACTTTTGGCCTATCAAATATACTTATATCCAGATATAATTATATAAATTCGGAGGTCCCCTCAATATCATTATAATAGACAAAAGCAACCATTTTTTTGGATATATATTTATTGCAAATAACTCATGTTAAAATAGTTAATTAATTTCTTATTGTAACAATCTTCTTCTGATGGATAGACAGATCAGATCATGAACAAGAACAACTATTAACAGTCATGTTTTGTCATTGTATTTTACGTCATGGTTCACAACTGTTCATTTTTTAGGGGAAAATTGTGAGAAAGCTCAGTTGGAAGAGCCAGGGAACAGTATTCTGAGGGTCTCAGGTTCGAGTCCCGTTCAGGCTGCACATTTTTCTCATCCTGTGACATAATTTAAATTTGTCCACAAGTTACTGCAAGTAAAGCAAAATTTAAAAACTTTACCATAACAGTCAAGGTCACATTGAGCTCAAATTTGAAGTTTTCAACATGCCAGTGTTTTGCAATAAGTTTTAAACTTAACAATTTAAGCAAAATTCAATATGACGTTGACGGTCAAGGTCATTTAAGGTCAAAGTTTTTTTCTAAAAGATTTTTTTTGGTTGCGATTTACGTCAGGGCCGGCAAAATCTGATTTACACTTACTTGTCTGTTTTTATGTGAATCATTATTTAACTTGTCTGTATGATATTTACATAGTCAATTCTTGAAAATTTTCATTTGTCCGTACAGGCTGAGAGACAACCTGGACAATATGGGCAATTGATTTTGCCAGCCCTGTACATCATATGAGCTATAGATCAATCCTATAGTTTCAGAGCTATCACTAAAGGTGATCCACCAGCAGGTGCGTCCGTGGCCGAGTGGTTAAGGTCGTTGACTTCAAACCACTTGCCCCTCACCACTGTGGGTTCGAATCCCTACTTGGACTTTGAATTCTTTCATGTGAGGAAGCTATCCAGCTAGCTTACAGAACGTCGGTGGTTATACTCAGGTGCCCGTTCGTGCCTGAAATAATGCAGGATCAAACAAACAAAAATCCACCAGCAACCTGTTTTGGAAAACAAGGCATAGATCCCTGACCTATCTAATTCTTATTATCAGATTAGTGGATGCAATAACAATTTAATCACTACCTATCTGTTAAGAAAAGAGCACATGTCAATGTTTGTAGTTAAATCTATTTTTATTCAAATAAAAGTCAGAGTAGGGATTTATCAATGGTCTTAAGCATAATTTGAACTCAACCTATAATGTTTTAACAGTATACAAATAATTATTACAAATAATTGCCCATCTTTTTTTCTTCATTTTTCTTTTCTTTAGTGACATTATGACCATGACCCAACAACAATCCCAAGCTAGGTCTCTACATAAGCTTGCTAAATACTGTAACAATCTCATTCCTAGCAACTTTGTCTATAAAAGATTTTTAAGTAACAGTGAGCTTGATCCCAGGGGGTCCAAAAGCAATCCCAAATGGGGTCTTCTTACAAGATTGCTTCATAATACATTTATTTGATCATAATATCTTATTTTATATCTATTATTGCCCAGAAATCATTAATTTTTAGTAACAGTGATCCTTGACCCCATGGGGTCCAACAACAATCCCAATTGAGGTTTCCAAATACAGTGTTTGATTACAATATCTCTGATTAAAAAACTCATTATTATACAGAAACTATTTTCTATTTTTAGTAAAAGTGACACTGACCTTGATCCAAACACAATCAGAAGCAAGTTCTGCATATAAGGTTGTTACATACCAATTGATTACAATATCTCATTCAAAACTATAGTTATCGTCCGGTAACTAAGTGAGAAAGATTGACGGATAAATGGACCAACTCACAAGCTGACTCAGACTACTATAATCTCCACTAAATTTTGTTTGTGGGGGTATACAAATCATTGACTCTGACATAATTCATTAAATTGGAAAATGCCAATATTATGCACAATATGACCTGGTATTGATTGTTCCTGTAAAGTTGGGATGAAATTGTACCAGTAGTTTTTGAGTAGTGGACAGATGGATAAACGGACAGACAGATGACAGAGAATTGATCCCTATATGTCGTCACTACTATATATAGGCAATACAATCAAGACGGCCAATATGGCCCTAGATTGCTCACCTGACCCATCAAACTCCGCAGTTAATTAGACAAGCATCTTGACCAAGTTTGATGACAATTGAATCAAAACAGTAGCCACTAGAGTGTTAACAGCGTTTTTCTTTTTTTAGCTCATGTGGCCTAGTTTTTCATTCGAGATGGCCTATGTTCGAAATCATTCGAGCAATTACCTAAACAAGACTCCTGACTAAGTTTGATGATGATTGAGGCAAAATGTGACCACAAGAGTGTTAACGAACAAATGTGGACAGAAGACGGACGGCAGACGACGGACATTCAACAATCCTAAAAGCTGAACCTGTCAGCTAGCTCATGTGAGCTAAAAAGTCATGACAATTAAAACAAAATTTGCAGTTTTGACCTTTAGTACCAAAGCCAAATAAAAAGGTAATGGTCAGATTCATAAATCTTATCCAAGTATGAAGACAATCCCTTTAGTATTCATAAAATAATGTGCAATGTGTAGTGTATGTACTGCACGGCAACAACAACACAAATGTAGCAATAGTGCAAATTTTTTCTTTGATGTACATGTACATGTACTTACAGTGCCGACATAATAATAATTTCAACAAAGGCTGCCTTTGGATGACATTCTTTTCCTATTTTCATCCAAGACTGTAAGTGTTCACTGGTCATCAGACTGTCTCCACTTGGCTTTACCCAACATGTATATGCATGTATAATTCACCCTTGTGGCCGCCTGGTCAAATAATCCAAAATAGGGTTGTCTCCCTTGCATTGTTAAGGAACCTTTTCACTATGAAAAGAAATTATGTAGTATATGTAACATATAATGCATAACATTGGTAATAAATATTTGTGTTAAAAGAATCCATCAATAAATGATGAAGTGCACTTATCCTTTGAGGCCTAATAAGTTATGATACTAAATAACCTCAAGGGTGGGGGCGTTTATTTAGGGTGGGGGCATGATTAATAAAACATTTCAATATAGAGGTTTACTAGGCAATGATATGTGCCAAACATAGAAGCTCTGGGTATTGTAGTTAACCACAAAAAGATGTGTTTTTCTACATAAAGGAAGTGACTGCCAAGGAAGGACCAATTTTTACCGAAGGGTCATTTTTAACTTTTGTAGAAATCTACAATCGAACAGTTGCTACATGCCAAATATTGCTTGTCGACCACAGGGGGTGGCGAGAAAGCGAAACAAAGTTTTTGTGCTTAATAGAGCATAATACATCCAGGGGTCTCGTACTCTCAAAAAACTAGAAATGTGTCCATAGGACACGGATGCCCCCACATGCCACTGTTATGTCAATCTTATGACTCTAGGTCAAATATATTTTTGGACTACAAGTGCCACAAGTTAAAAACTAAAAATAAACAAAGGGCCATAATTCTGTTAAATTTGGTCGCAACAAAAATTCCTTTCTTTACTACCATCTACAAATTAAGGTTGTTCATCTCTGGAAGTTTAAGCAAAATCTGCCATCCGGTTTAAGAGGAGTTGCGTTCACAAAATTTCTACATAGTATATTGTGAAAAAATCAACAAAGGGCCATTATTCTGTTAAATTTGGTCGCAGCAAAAATTCCTTCCTTAACTACCATCTACACATTAATGTTGCTCATCCCTTGAAGTGTAAACAAAATCTGCCATCCGGTTTAAGAGGAGTTGCGTTCACAAAATTTCTATATGGTATATAGTGAAAAAATCAACAAAGGGCTATAATTCTGTTAAATTTGGTCGCAGCAAAATTCCTTCCTTTCCTACCATCTACACATTAAGGTTGTTCATCCCTGTAAGTTTAAGCAAAATCTGCCATCTGGTTTAAGAGGAGTTGCATTCACAAGATTTTGGGACGTACGGAGGACGTTCTCACTGGACAGTAATTATGTGGCTACTCTATTCTTCTCTCTATTGTTCTTTTTAGCAACGCAAAAGAAAATAGCCACATAAAAGCATTACGAAATGAATGACATCAAAGAGAAAGAACAGTTACCTATTGTCCCTCTAGCCACATAATTACTCTCCTGTGAGTGCGGACAGACGTACGGAAGGACAGACAGACAGACAAGTGCAACGCTATATGCTCCCACTTTGTGGGGGCATAAAAAATGAAAATTTGGACAAGATACGAAAATCAAATAAAGTTGAAATAAATTCTATAACAATAGATGCAAGCAGGCAACTAGCAAAGACCATTAAAGACTACAAAACTGTGAAAAAAATTAAACTAAAACATAACA